CTTTGGTCTGTGTGGTCCTTCGGTAATAGGATGGTCGTTTAGCCAATCGACCTTCCTTGGTTTGGTCGAGGATCTTCAGCCGATTGGCTCCTTGAGCCCTTGAAATTTTTCGTAAGGTAACTAAATCATTATTTTGTCTCGAGATTTGTGCTGATAATTTTCCTGCATACATATTAATTCCATGATTCTTTTGGTCCTTGAAGGTAATGTTGCAATAAGGACAAAATCTTTATGAAAGAATGTTTCATTTATAATCTCAATGATTTAATAATTTAATAATTACTCTCTAAATTTTCGTGCACACAACTCCTATAAATAGGTTCAATAGGGCTCATCCCCATCTTCTTTACTTTCCTTATTCGTAAACTCCAAATGACACCATGTTTGGTGTACAAGCTCAGGGTCTCTTTGATAAGGATGTGATCCTTATAGTTCACAAACAAGTGAGTGCTCCACCTCCTTTTGTGAGTGGAAGATTGAGGAAGAAATTAACTATGAAGAGAAAGAGGTAGGTCCCTGAGCGTGATTCTTACAATCAAGTGGCTTTATTGAAAGATCTTAGAGATCATCAGCAGGAGAAGATCCCTAGGGTCAAAAAAGGTAAAGAAGATCTACCAATAGTTGAGGAACATATTCCACTGGTCAATGCTACTGGTCCCGGGGCCGAGGGTGCTTCGAAACAATTGATGATGCTAATAACAGGTCAATGCTACTGGTCCCAGTGGCGGTGGAGTCACAGTCAAAGTTACAAGTGATAGATATTACACCTACTATAACAGGTAAGGATGATGCTCATATAACTATTACTTTATCAGGTATCAAAGTCACTCAAGTTGAGGATTCTATGGCAAAAAATCATGAGCCAACCTGTGATGGTCAACAGTCGATTATTAACAGATGGTAGACTTTTTGGGTGCTTTATAAGAGACAAGTAGAGGACAACTAGTGTTTTCAGGGTCCCCCAGATGTAGGATGGATGAGATGGTTGACTACTTTGTGTAGACTGTCAAGAATCCTGATGGTGGAACTAAGTGGGAGCTGGTTGCATGTGTCGAGAAAATGGAAAGGGAAATTGCTCAGTTGAATGGTGAGTTGATTGCTCTTCGAGTCGAGCTGTTGGTCGCTTGAGAGTCATCCAACATGAACTGAATCCATAATTAGATCAATTGGGTAGGCTGATTTATGTTAGGAGAGAGCTTAAGTTTAAAAGGCCGCTTCATCGAGGATATGCCTTGACTAAAGCGAGGGAAGAATTTTTTATATAGTATTTAATTTCTGATTAATCCATTGTAATTTTTTATATATTTTTAAAAGATTGATTTTTCATTAAATCATATTTAATGTCTAGTTTGACCTTTGTTGGCATGCTTTTTGAGGTGCAAAGGTCCTGAGGCGATTTGACTTCCTCCCCTATTCTCTAAAATTAGGTTTAGCTGTTAAAGTCGTGCTACGCTGCTCCCTTCTCTTATGGTTTTCTCTCTGATCCTTTCTCTTTCTTCCTCTGCAATGGCTCCTAAATTCTCTCTTAATCTCTTTGGAATGATCCCTATGAACAAATCTTCTTCTTTAACCACAGAATACATGGCTAGGCTTAAGCCCAAATATATTTTTGATTCATCATGAAACTTCATACAGTGAATATTCAGGACTGAGCAATGAATTGCTTTTGAAAGGACTTGGTGTTCTGCTAGGAAAAGTTCCTCTGCAGGCTTTGTTTACTGATTTGCATAGAGTTATGGGCCATTTTCAACCATTACAAGGGCCTTCCCACTCAAATTTGGCCTAACTCAATAGCAGACATAATGTTCTATGTGGTTTTTTCTCATTGAGTGGAATTTCCTTGGTCGACTGACATTTTCGGCTACATGTTCACATTTTTAGCTAGTTATAATTCCAGTTATTAGGCCTTGAGAACAAAATAAGGAATTAGAAAATGTACTTTCTGATCGGATCTTATTTGGGTGAGTGAAGTGTCGTATTGGTCTCATTGGGTGTGATAGAGGATAAGGTTAAAACCATGTAGAGGCATTTGGTCACCAACGCTCCTAAGATTGAAGGCAAGTAGCTTTCAGTCCCAGAGTATACTTATTCAAGCTGCATTGATTGGGTTCTTCAATTAAAAAAAAATCAGTAGTATGACTAAGAAACTTTGGGAGATATCAGATGCTAGAGAATTTGAGAGGGAAAAGCAGTCAAGGAACAGGCTGCTGGAAAGAAATCTTAGGCAAAACATTCCTAGTATATGATTGGGGCTAGGGTAATAATGGGATTGAGGTGGCTGGAGTAGATACCATAGTTGTGGAGTTTATTTTTTCTGCTTCTAAAACCTCCATAATTTAATGGGGTTTGACTAGAGAGGTTGCTATCTTTACTATATTTGTGTGCTCTAATTCTCATCTTGGGCATGTTTATGCTCACATCACCACCTTTTTGGACATTGAATCCTAATTTGCTCTTTGGAACACGCCTTGAGGAATAGGGCAAAAGAAAGGAAGGACAACTAGAGAAACAAAGATAGAATAGAGTGTAAGATGCACAGTTCATTGGGAAAAAGATTCATCCTCTCATTCAAGAAATGATCCTTATATATAATTAAAGAAGTCCCTTGATAAAATCATATTCTTACCCCCAATTTAATGGGGGCATTACAAGTCATTATTCTATTATTAATTTGCCCTTATTTAATTAGAGGAATTACATATTAGTTTTATCCTTTTTACGCCTTTTCATAATTATAACAGATATTGGTGTCTTTCCTAATCTATAATTGATGTTGACAACCTTTCATATTTATAACCGACATTAAAACCTTTTCGCATCAGTATTAAATATTGACAGTTTCCCATGAGTCTAAAGCCCTATTTAGCTCAGCTTATATTTGTGCGGTGGCGTTTTCATAACGCCGCCCTCGCGTTTGTTTCTCGCGTTCGTTTGGCGGCGTTCTGAACGCAGCATCCCGCAGATCCATTTTTCTTCATTAATCGGATCGCGGGGCCTCGACTGCATTCGGCGTTGGTTGTTGGCGTTAGGGCTCAAATTCCTTCTTTTGTCCTTGGTGATCTCTCTCGCGCTCTCCCCTCGCCTCCTCACTCTCCGATCGAAAGCATCACTCTATGTTGGTGTTAGGGCTTGATTTCGTTCTTTTTCCCTTCGACATATACTCTCCGGTAAGATCTACGATTGTTTGTTGTTGGTTTTTTTTAAGATATGCTCTGGATCTGTAAGTTTTTTCGAGATATGCTCTGGATTCGTGAGTTGTTTGGATCGGTGAATTTTTTTTGGTTCTTCCCCATATCTCTTCTTCTATTGCTTTGGATCTGTGAGTTTTGCAAAAGTAATAACTTCTATTAAGCGATTGTTTAGTAGTTGCAACAAGTTCATGTTTTTATGGTTGAAAATATTACTTTTGCAACTGCAATACCCAACTAATGGAAGTATCACTGATGGTATACTTTTACATATATTCGGATCACCACTCAGTTCATTGTCAAGAAGTCTCTACAATGTTATATTATTCCTGGTTAAATTTCAATACCATAGTAACAGTTCTCTTCTGGTAACACCATCTTTTTCACCTTTTTCTTAAGGCTTTTTCTTGATTTGGCATCTGTCTCACAGAACTCCTATTTTTTTACTTTCTTAACCCTTATTACACGTGCTATATCAGGTGTGCACACCATAACCTATATTAATGATTCAATTGTTAACGTATAAGTAGTTTTGGTCATATTTTTATCTTGTTAGTTTCAGTTTTTGAGAGTTTAAAGTGGCTTACTAAGGGAGTGCTTACATGTTTGTTGTAGATTTGCTCTTTTAACATAATAAATTCACGCAACACTTTCACAATGTCAAGTAATCGGAGATAGCTTCAACGTACCACTTATTTGGTCTTGAGCATAGTGCTTTGATTCTTGGCAGTCCTCTATGCAGAACTACTTTCACAGTCACTCTTTCGATTTATTGGTTTTACTAATGTTTATTCTCTTCAAAAAAGGATGTATACGATTTTGTTGCATCTCTATTGAATGATACAATTTGGATTCGGAAAAGGAGTATCTGTATTGAATGATACAATTTGGAACATTCTCGCATCTCTATGTCTCGATTTTGTTGGTTCAAATCATTTTATGTATTTGGGTTTTCTCGTTTGTAATGCATTGTTGCGACGTTGTTTGTAATGCATTACTGTTCCATGGCCTTTCAATTAATGTTTACGTTGCAATTCTTTTCGATGGGCTGCAATTGTAGCTTATGGTTGCTGAATGGATTTGCAAAAGAACATGAATGACTCACATCTTTATGGTGGACTGAATTTGTTGTTTACAGTGGGTAGAAAAATGGATTTCTAGTTCACTTATTGCATCAAAAAAATGGATATGGAGTTCATGTTGGGTAGCAAAATTGATTTGCAAATAAGCATGATTGGCTCACATCCTTATGGTGGGCTGCATTTGTATTTTATTTATTGCCCTATTACATATTCTATGGCTCAACATTTGATAAGTGACTCACTTTATACTTTTGGCATATGCGGCATTCTCATGTAACAATTTGTAGGATTTTGGCTATGTCCCGCCGATGTGATGCATTTAGCAAATGGGTATATGGTGTTGAGCTAAAGAAATGAAAATTGTGGTGTAATTTGCCTGCGGTGTAATTTGAGACAGGCCAGCTCATTGACAATTTTTTTTTTGGATTACGAATAATCCTAGCTTTGTTGGAATTTAAATTGAAGGACATGTATTAGAATTTTCATATTACACATATATTTTATATTTGTAGTCTTCTCCAGTGAGAAATATAGCTTTGTATGATTAAAAATTTGATAATAAAACATATTCGATGCCTTACTGTGGATGTAGGTCTTTGACCGAACCACATAAAAAACATGTGTGCTTTTTTTATTCTTAGCACTTTTTTAGCATTTGTTAGCACAATTGTTGGGTAATTGAGATAATTTGATTATTATGTGATACTTGCAATTATTCGATAGTTCCACAATGGGTAAGACATCTGAAGGGGGTCCCTCTACAATGTGGGATAAAGAAGTCACCAATATATTTTGTGATCTATGTATAAAAGAAATTGAGCTGGGGAACAGACCTACAACGTACTTTAATAAGGAGGGCTGGAATAATATTGGTATGAGGTTCAAAGAACTAACTGGCAGAGATTACGACAAGCTTAAATTCAAAAATAAATGGGACCAATTAAAGAAGGAATTGAAAACATGGAAGGAGTTGAAACGTGAATCTACAGGTTTGGGTTGGGATCCGATTAAACGGATAATTGATGCTCCCGCTGAATGGTGCACTGAAAAATTGGAGGTAATTTTATATCTACTCCGTGATTTGTTTGCTATCCAAATTGGTTTTTGTAATTTTACTTGCTTAATTATTCTCTTTAAAATGTTATGTCACAGGCAGTACCTGCAGCGAAAAAGTATAGATAGTGCGGGATTGAGCCTAAATTTGAAGAAAAACTGGACATAATGTTTAAATGTGTTGTCGCAACAGAAAAATTTACTTTCAACCCAAGTAAAAGTACCTTTTCAGGGATGTCAGATGAATTCACTCATGAACCATTGACATCTGATGAAGATGTGCCTAGCATTAATCAGAGAGATACGGGGGACTAGCACAATAAAGAGGTCCAAGGTTGCTAAGAAAAATAAAGAGAAAGAACATGTTTTGAACACCTC